TAAAATATATAAATTTAGTAATATGCTAGCTAAATTAGTAAAACAAGAAAAAAGAGAAATTCTACTAAGAAAACTATTTATAGCTAAAATAACTTAAATATATTATATAACTTTTCTTGATATAATTAAATGATTGTGATGCAGTAAGTTATGTATAGTGCAATATGTGATATAGTAACAATCTGTGAAATAAAATATAAATCTAATATAATTATTCTAATTTGTTACAAAATATTTTTATATTAACTTTATAATTAAAATAATTCTTTCAAAAAAATATATATTAAATTATAATTAATAAATTTTATTTTAATATAAAAATAAAAATTATTTTTTAATAAATTATAAATTTTAATATAAAAAAAAACTTTTAATTTTTATTATTTTATTAATAAATTTAACTTCTAAGTTATTACTTTTGATTATTATTATATAAAATAATTTTTATTATTTAAATAATAATTATTTTTTTATAAATTTTTATTTAAAATTAAAAAATTTTCTTTTTTATTATAAATAATATATATATATATATATATAATAATAATAAAAAATAATATAATACTTAAATTTTTTACTAATTATAATTAGTAAAAAATTTAAGTACTATATTATTTTTGATTGTCACTATATATTTATAATAATAATTAAAAAGAATATAATACTTAAATTTTTGATTAATTATAATTAATAAAAATTTAAATATTATATTTTATTTAATTATTATTATATAAATCTATTAAATTTATTTTAATAATAAAAATAAGAATTTTATTTAAAAATAATTAAAATATATTTTTTTAAATATTATTATAACTTTTTTAAACTTACTTTTTTTAAATAATTATACTTATTAAAAATTTTTAACTTATTAAAATATATAAAAATATTTATTAATTATAATTTTTAAGATATTTAATTTTTAATTTAAATATAAACTTTTATTTTTTATTTTATATTTTATTAAATAATTTATTTTATAATATTATTAAATAATTAAATAATTATATTTTTTAATATTAAAAAAAATTATTTATAAAAAATTATATAAAATAATTTTATTATATTATAAATAATATAATTATTACAGTAAAATTAATATAATAATATTAGTAAAGTAAAATTAAAATATAATAAAAGTAATATAAATATTATAATATATCTTAATTAATAATATTTTTAATTTATTTAATTCTTTTCTTTTATAAATATTTTATAAAAATAAATATTAAATTATTCTTATTATTAAACTTAAATAAAATTTTGTTATTGAATAAATTATTAAAATTATATTATTATATTATTAAATTATTTTTAAAAATTAAATCTCATTTTAATTATATTAAATATAATTATTTATTTTTAAATAAAATCTTTAATAATTCATATTTAATTTAATAATTATTTATAAATTATTACTTTTATAAAAAAAATACTTATTCTATTAAAATAATTAAATATTATATATATATATATATATTTAAATAAAAGTTTTAATTATAATAAATAATATTATTATTAAGATAAATCTTTATAAATTTATATAAATTATATTTATTATATAAAATTTCTTTTCAATTTAAATATTAATTACTTTTTTCAAAATCTAACTTACAAATATACTTTCTAATAATATTAATAATTATAACTAATAAATAACTTTTTTTTATATTTATCTTATTAATATTAAAATAATTATATTAAATTAATATTATATGAATTATTAATATAAAATTTTTGAATTCTGAAAAAAATAATAACATTATGTTAAATATTATACCATGTGATGTATCGGAGCAGTAATACATGTGACTCAATAATGTAAAAATCAAAAATTGTTACATTTAAGTTTAAGCATTTTTATTTAAGAATTCTTATAAAGAAAACGAAATTGCAAACACGATATTATAATAAAATTTTGATCGCAAAAATCTTATATGATGCTGCACTGTCATTTGATATGTAACAATATAACACTTGTTTTCTTACTATATAAATTCGAAGTAGGGTATAGTCACATAAACTTAAATAATAAACAATGTCTAATTGGAAAAGAGAAGGTATTTTCTCACAAAAAAACAATTCTCACGTTTATCAACCAACATTATTTGTTTTTATTATGTTTCGCCGAGTTTCCCCAAAAAAAATTGCAAATTAAAATGGATTTTAGCTATTGGGTGGTAAGATCACGTTAATAATCATGATTGTGAAAAGATTTTAGAGCACACTCAAACTTACTCAAACTTCGTGATAGGGAAAATGTGAGAATAACTTCACTATATCAAGTTGAAATTATTAATAATTCCCGAGAAAACTTTTCAGCTATAACGAGAATGACTTTCTTGAAATTTATCAAATTTTAGAAATATAGGATTAACGGAATACGAAATTGATCGCTATCTATAAACGGTTAAATATTTATGCACGATAACCTATTTAAGCTAAATTGGAAAATAATAAGTGTGAGAATAAGTTATCGTTATCGTTTATTGATGAAAAAAGAATATTGGTGATTTACATTGGAAATTGTACAACTATTTGATTGAATTATTAATTTATCATATTCCTTGATAAATAAATCTAAGCTTTATTTGAACGTTAGTATTTATTTTATATGAATTTTTCATTTCAATTATAAAGAAAATTATCGGATTACTGTTGATAATAACGATGATAATAATGTTGTTGTTGTTAAATGATGTTGATGATGATTGTTGTATATATAATAGTCTATGATTTCAATGAAATGAAGACAATATCTAAAATAAATAAAACTACTAAATAGGTATAATACACAGAAAGCTTATAACAAAATGCCAAGTAAAAAAAAAATCATTTCTACAATAATGGTTTAAATTGTAAACCGAAAAATCAAAAGTTATCGCCCAAATCTCTGATCACATTTCGAATACTGGTATAACCCTCTTAACAGTATTGAGTAATCGAATCTCGAATTGCCTGCAACATGACTACATTTGAATCCTAATTAGTAAATAGCAATAAAATAAAGTATCTTTTCCTCCTTTAAACACACACTCACAATATTTCGGTTAATCGTATATGCCAAGGAGGAAACCCATCAAGAACAATTTCAGGTGCAAATGTAATCAGCAATTGAGGTTCCGGGAATTGAGGTACTGATAATAACATGGACCATATATGATTTAGCTCTTAATTAGTTTTATATAGACCTAAAATTATCTTTCTTCTACTTACCACTTAATCTACTATCCACTTCTTCAACGTCAATTTTATCACTTTTTATTTTTCCTTTTAGTGTATCATATACTAATGACTTTGTCATCTTGACTATACGGTCACGACCATCTTCACGCGAAACCAAATTCACTTGTAAATCTTTTAATTAAATCATTTAAATATCGTTCGATTATTTATATCGATCAGATAGATAAAATAAAAAATATGTATATATGAATAAAATAAAATACCAGGTATAAATCCATCATCCATTTCAGTATTTTTGATGGATAAATCACTACTATCGAGCGCAGAAACACGTGTAGTCGGTATAATTTTATCATTAGCAAAAAATTGTCGCGTCGCGATCTCAATGTGTGATTGTAACAGATCAGCATTTGATTTAAGGTGATCTTTTATGAACATTAATTGGATCAGTTTGATTCTCATTTTTTTTTTTTTTTTTTTTTACTACTGTAATTCTATGTATTCGCTCTATGCTCTAAACTCACCTTTCGCCTCGTATAAGCTCAAGACTCTAATTCCAGCACACAAAGCCCAACAACACAGTTGCGAAATCTCATTAAATTTTATCATCTTTTCATTATTACTAATCTTAGTTTCTTCATGCTTCCTCCAATACAACACAGCTAGGTGTTTAGGCACTTTCTCCAGTCGTTTGAAATCCTCGCGTACTTTTCCCGGTGTCAACACGTCATTGGAACGCTTTTGCAAAAAAACCAGCGACCAAGTGACTCCTTTATGAATGGTGTAGCAAAAGTGTAATAAGGTCAAAAGCGTGGCATCAAAAAAGCCTGCATTGTGATATGTGTAGCGATAATAGAATATTATTAATGAGACGAGAATAATGGAAAAGGCTAATATTAAATACATTAGGTATTCACAATTACTACTACCAATATTCTAAAACAGATAGTAAAGGATATTGGGCGTGGGAATTGGTATCATTTTAAGATAGTATCAAATGACACATGTTATTTATTGAGACCAAAGTTTGGCACTGAAAATGCATGCACGATTGTCGTGTGAAACAGCCACGTTTAGTGTTGTTGGGGACACTTTATTATTAGATCTATGAGATCCCATTATTCCACTATGATTAACATTTGTATTATCTCACAAACAAAAAAAAAATTGATCAATTACTAAAGAAAGAAAGAAATTAATTAATTTATTTAGCAAATCATTACACAATTGTTTTACTTATCCAAAAACAAGTAATTCTAGCCATTAATGATAATTTCTTTGATGTCATTATCATTGGAGTCAATTTGACAGCCCATGGATAGGAAAACCGTTTTATATCGCGCATGCTTTCAGATGTAATCCCAATTAATCGATCAATCTCTTACGATTGTTTGTCTAGATTTTCATTTCATATAAAAGTCGTTTATCTGAACGTCTGTAAAAAAAAATAAAGGAACAAAATCTTCGTACTTTCAATTTCTTATAAAATGGATTCTCCCGTTAATCTTTTTAATTTTTTCTTTATATTTGGTAAGAGGAGATATAATTTTCTGGTATAGATATTTCGCTTTTTTTATGTTCATAAATTTTCTTTTCTTTTCTACCCGGCAATTAGGAATACGATTTCCGGAATCTATATTTCTCTATTTTATTTCACATCTCTCTCATAATGTACACAAAATAAAATATGACAATAACAAGAGCTTTTATAACGATGTTGCGAACAAGGTTGCCTTCATCGCTGCAAGAGCGTCGCAACCAGTTAGCACACCACCAACACTAAGCCAAAGATTTCTATCAACCTTCATAAAAGCTGCGGAAGAAACGCTATCATCAAAAGGGCTTACAAATTTATACAAGTTTGGAGGATGGATCGATGAAATATCGCATGGATTGAAATATACCGATAAATGGTGTGTAAAGCTCGACAATAATTCCTCCGGTTGTGAAGCGTATTTGATCGCCGAAGATGCCGCAAACGCGAGACTTGGTGAAGATATTGATTTGTTGATTTTGTACACACATGGTGATTATTCGTTTGATACGGTATTGATCTTCTGTTGTCGAAAATGATATTGACGATGTTTTCCTTTTAGGGGGCGGATTTATTACTGGTCATGCGTTAATCCCGATTGGTGCTTTTGTGTATTGGTTAAATACCTGGAAAGCTAATCATAATGCTAAAGTTCAAATCTTATCTTTGGAGTATCGTAAGTAATAACATTTTAATTATGAATTTAGTAGTGATAGCAGTTTCTTTAATCTTCATGAATTCATTTTATATATATTTTTTTAGCACTTTCTCCAGAACATCCATTTCCAGCCGCAAGAGATTACCTATTAAAATGCTATCGTTGGCTAATATACGAACAAGGTCTTAACCCCCAAAAAATAGTATTTGGCGGTGACAGTGCCGGCGCGAATCTTTCAACTGTGGCATCACTCCAAATCGTCAATTACCAACAGGGCGTTCATCAACTACCGCCCCCAGCATCTTTATTGCTAATCTCACCACTTGTTAACACGGACACTGGCGCAGAATCTTTCAACACCAACAAAGAACTCGACATTATCAGTCTTGAATGGATGGATAAATGTGCGCATGCGTACGCGCGGGGCACTACGATGCGACACGAGTCGCCGGAAATTTCGCCTTTATTCGAGAAAGATATTAGTAAGATGCCGAGATTCTGGGCAAGCGTTGGTGAATATGAAGTGTTTCGTGATGATATTAAGGCATTTGCGAAGAAAGCTAAAGACCAAGGTGTTGAAGTTGAGTTGATGTATGAGCCAGCTAATTATCATAATTTTGGAGTGTCTTATTGGTTGTCGAACAATGGTGCTTATCACAGGGCGGCGAAAAAGATGGGCGCATTTTTGTTTGAGAAAAAATGAACTTTTTTTTTGTAATTAAATTAGAGTATAGAAATATCATGTTTACATTACATTTGTAAATCAAAAACGGACTCATGGCCACAAACTTTGTGTTTCCCAATAAAATTCTCGAAAAAAAATTAATTTGTAGATCGGTCAATCATATGTGCGTGTAAATTCGTTTTTAGATATACGTTAGCTGTTGTATTATCTTTGAGTTTTGTAAAAGAAGTAATGACAATTAAAACATCAAAACAAATACCAGATTTCCCCATTCACGGTTTACTTCCAAAAGAGGTTTATTTTTTTCGGCCATTGTTTAATGATTTTTAAGCTTGACCAAATTTCAACCTAACATTGGCAATTTGTGATCTTGGGTGACATAGGAAACAGAGGCGGCTGCCTTTATAAAAAAGTACCCAGAGTATGATGGACGCGGTACAATAATTGCTATACTTGATAGCGGTGTCGATCCCGGGGCTGTCGGTTTACAGGTATTTTTTTCTCACCCTTTCTTTTTGCTCATAAACACATACTAATTCTATAGCTCGATGAAAAGAATCGAAAATAACTTTTGTAATCAAAAATGATTTCTTCTTGAAAAAAGGTCACTACAGAAGGAAAGCCAAAAATCGTCGACATGGTCGATTGTACAGGCGCTGGTAATTAAATCAATTCACGAAATCAAAATTTTATCCGATATTATATGTTTTTATTTGATCCGAATCTTAAAAAATCATGATGTAACTAACGCGCGTCTTGAAAATATAGGCGATGTCATTACCAAAACTCTTGTGAAACCAACCGTCAAAGAAAGTGGATTAGAAACGTTACATGTGATTCAAGGTTTATCTGGGCGCACGTTAATTATCAATCCTAAATGGAGTAATCCATCGGGCGAATTTCGAATTGGGATTAAAAGAGCTTTTGAACTGTATCCAACGCCATTGGTGTCTAGACTTCAGCAGGTTCATCATTTCATGATTAATAAATTGTTTTAGATTAATTTCTCTTTTAAAAATGAATACTGAAAATGATTCATTATAATGATGTGATAATGATTGATGGTTTATTCTCGTAGGAAAAACGTCAAAGCATCACCATTGATCATCACAAACTTCAAGTCGAAGTACAGAAGCAAATTGCTGACTGGGAAGAAGCCCATCCGCCAAATTCTTCGCCTTCAGAATCAGACGTTCAATTCAAGACAGATTTGGAAGCACGTGCAGAAATACTCAAGGATCTAATAAAGAATTATGATACACCTGGTCCGATCTTTGATGTTGTGACTTTCTTTGATGGTAGTGATTGGCGAGTTGTTGTGGACGTTAAAGAAAGTGGAGATCTAAGAGGTTCTTATTACTATTATGATTGCGACTTATATTTTTTAGTTGAATTTTACCATTTATTATGTATTTTATTGTTATATACATTAATTTTTATACCTTATTTTGCGAAATTAGATGAACCTCTGTTAACTGATTTCCGTAAAGAACATAAATTTCATACATTCAGTCAAGAAGATTTACTTAATTTCTGTGTAAACATATATGATAACGGAGACGTCGTTAGGTTGTATTATATTATAATTATTTTATTTTATAACATTTGCTATATTACTAGCTAACATATTGTTATTTTAGTATTGTCACTACTGCTATCAACCACGGAACTCATGTCGCTGCTATTGCTGCTGCTTATCATCCTGACGAACCGGCGTTAAATGGGGTGTGTAAACCTTTATTTATTATTATTCTTGATTTTTTAAATATTCAAAACTTGTTACTCAATATATTTAAAATAATGGTATTCAGGTAGCCCCAGGTGCACAGGTTTGGCAATTTTTATGCTTATCGTTTAACTTTATGGCCTCATTCATGCATATTTAAACTGATTGATTTTTTCTTAGATAATTTCTCTCAAAATCGGCGACACTCGTCTAACTAGCATGGAAACAGGTGCTGGTCTTGCTCGTGCAGGCATTGCACTTGTGAATACACGAGCCGACCTTGCAAATATGAGTTATGGTGAAGCGTCTGCAACACCTAACGCGGGTCCATTCATCGAACTGATTCGTGACGAGGTTATCAATAAGTATGGGTGCATATTTTTGAGTAGTGCAGGAAATAATGGGCCTGCTTTATCGACAACGGGGTCTCCTGGTGGTACTTCGAATGGTAAATTAATAATCGAGTTTATGGATAGTCATGCTCAATATAGAGTCAAAATCTATGAAACTATTGCTTTTTATTTATTGATCATCACAATTCATATTTAGGAATTATTGGTGTTGGAGCATATGTTAGCCACGCAATGGTACAGGCTGAATATGCACTTCTTGAATCTGTACCTGAACGTTCTTATACTTGGAGCTCTCTTGGTCCGACTACCGACGGAGATACTGGCGTAGACATTTACGCTCCTGGCGGGCAAGCATAATTTTTCATGTGGTCATTTCCACATAAATCTCTTTTTTAATTTAACCTTTATCTTTTTATATATTCATATTAATAAATTTAGGGCGATAACATCAGTTCCTACTTACTCGCTACAAAAATCTCAATTAATGAATGGAACTTCCATGTAATGTTGGAATAATAGGTCGCACCAATCGTTGGCCTTTATTGCCTTCCTACGTATTGCTGTTGTTTCTTACCCTTCTTTATAAATTATATTAATTTGATATTAATTGCTCATTTATAGGTCTTCCCCAAATGCATGCGGATGTGTCGCTCTTTTACTTTCAGGACTAAAGGCCGAAAATAAAGAATACACTCCTTATCGTATAAAAAACGCGATAATTAATACAGAAAAATCGATTAATGACCCGTTTGGAGTGGGATTGATTCAAGTGGAGAAAGCTTGGAATTTTCTACAGAATTTCTATGATCGCACTGAACAAGACTTATCTTTCGAGGTCATAATTTTATTGTATATCGTTATTAATGGTTTAATTTCAATTATCGTGGCTCGAATGTTTTTTCTTTGATAGTAACATCAATGTCAATCTTGAACATCTAACTTGTAGGTTAGTATTTATGGATCTCCACGCGAAAAACGTGGTATTTATTTACGCGGGGAACAAGAGACTTCTACAGTTCAGATACGCAATGTGGACATCAATCCAAAGTTTATGTCTGCGATTGATCCGACATCTGGGGAAAACAATACCAGAAAATTTGAGTTTGAGAGTCGTATTGCGTTGATTAGCACTGAGAGCTGGGTTCGAGCTCCTGACTTTTTGTTATTTGGAAGTCAAGGTATCAAATATGATTGTTCATGCAGCGCTAGTTTTTAAACGAAAAAAAATGAATGAATCAATTCTTGGAATCGAAATCGTAAAATTATATGTTAACATTAACAGGTCGAGGTTTCCAAATAAAAGTTGACCCCACGCAATTAGCTCGGGGAAAATTTTATTACGCCGAAGTTCAGGTATATTGATTATTATTGATAATATTAAGTCATAAAAACGATGTCATTTATTTAACCTTGAAAATCAGGGATATGATACGAGTTCGCCGTTCCCAGCCCCAATATTCAAAGTTCCCATTACAATTACCAAACCATTGATTCTGAACGGGACAAAATATTCGCTTGATTCCTTATCCTTTGGACCGGGACACATTGAGCGAAACTTTGTGAAAGTTCCAGATGGTGCTACTTTCGCAGGTAAATTTCATGTTTTGTTTTATTTTTTTTATTATTAAATTATTATCGGACATCAATCTAATATAAATTCGTTTATTGTCTTAAATTATTGTTTCTCCATAAAGACGTGGTGCTTCGTTTTTCAGCCACGCAAAATACCGATCCGGCTCATTTCTTGCTTCACATGATCCAACTATTGCCACAGTCACGGTATACGAAACAAGAACGCGAGTACCATTTCATGCTAGGCAAGGGCAGTTATGGTGATTCGAATGGTGATGAGCAAATTGAAAAGAAACGGTTTGCTGTGGTTGGTGGGGTGACACTTGAAGTATGTAAAAGTCTCTTTCATTTGTCATTTTTATAAATATTTAAATGGAAACGTAAGATCGTATGTATATTATTATTTAGGTTTGCCTGGCACAATTTTGGTCAAGCCTGGGAAATCATACAATTTCATTAGAAATTGCATTTCACGGTATTCAACTGACAAATAACACTGGCAATGGAGGAGAAAATATAGTGTATATTAACGGCGGAGATGCATTTACTCGTTTGGATATAATTGCCCCGGTGAGGCGGGAAGACGAAATTAATCCTTCAATTAATCTAGGCAACCTATTTATTCTATAGTTATTGAGTTCAATTATTTCATGAGATATTTCATGAGTAAATAATTATTCAAACTCTTATAGATGTCCTTCGAAAGCCTCTCCGTCCGACTGAATATTCTCTGCGTCCGCTGAGCCCACAACGAGACGTGCTTCCCAATTCGCGACAAATATACGGACTTCAACTCACATACACCTTCAAAACTACCGAAAACAATTTGACTGTTACACCAAGATTTACTGCGTTTTTCGACTATCTATATGATTCTTATTTTCAAGATTTCTTTGCCATTGGTTAGCATATAATAATATTTATACATTATAGATTAGCATCGGTTTATTATATAATTTTATTGACGACAGCTTTGACGCATTTTATTTCTATTTAGTTTACGATGCGAATAAAAAAGTGCTTGGCTACATTGATATTTACCCGAAAAATTTTAAACTGGATGTAAAAGGAGATTACACAATCCGTGCACAAATACGCAATGATTCTCAGGATCTTTTGGAGAAACTAACAAACACCGTCTGTCAACTCGACATCACACTATCCAAAAAAGTCAACTTAGAAATTCACTCGCAAGTTTTTGACGTTTTCGCCTCCAAAAGGGCATCTGGGAGAGGTGCCCTCGAGAAAGGGGAACGCAAAGCTTTATTTGTTGCGTCACCACATGAGCACAACGTTTTTCCGAAAGACGCAAAATATGGCGACTTGTTGATCGGTAACCTGAATTTTGTTAATTCTGTAAGAGTCGACGGTGGTCAATACAAAGTGATGTTTATTGTTCCGCCGGCACCGGTCAAAACGAAGGAACCGACACCATCTGGCGAGAATGGTAGCAATAAAGGCAAAGATGGTGAAAAGGAAAAAAGCAAGGAGGAGACAGTGTCGACGCAGTTAACAGAGTCGATTCGGGACACGCAAATTGCCCATATACGAAAATTCCCAGCAGATTCGACGTCCCGCAAGGAATTAATAGCTGAACTAGAGGATAAGTATCCGACGCATTTACCGTTATATCAGACGAAATTAGAACTATTACTTGAAGGAGTAAATGGAACTATGAAATCTGAAACGGCGAAAGCCGTTATTGAGGTCGCAGACCAAATTCTTGCAAATATCGATTTCACTGAATTATCATCATACTACGGTGTCAAGCAAGAACTTAACAATGAAGCCGCCAAAAAGAAAAAGAAAGAATTCGACGATAAGAAAAAAATAGCAATATTAGCGTTGCGCTCTAAAGCACAAGGATTAGCTATCCTTATTGATAAATCAAAATCATCTTTTGATTCATCATCAAGCGGGGTTAATGCCGAAGAATTGACAGCGCAATTTGAAAAAACCTATCAGACTGCCGCGCAATGGCTTGATACCACTAGTGACCTAAAGAACTTACTATTGTACGTGATGCATGAACGTCGTGCTGGTCGATACGGAAACGCCATAAAGGCCATCAACAAATATGTGTCGGAGCAAGGGCTCACCAAAGAAAATGCTAAAGAAATTGACAAAGCAATCGGTGTACGACTGGAATTGTTACGTGAATTAAATTGGGATATTTGGTCAGCATATGAAGAGAAATGGAAGCTTATTCGTGTGCCACCTGGTGGATATGCACCTTTCTGAAGATGGGATTAGTCAAAAAGATTTTATATACTGACGAAAATTTTGTTAATATTTCATTAGAAAATGTAAATTACTTTCTAAATTATAGTAAATAAATTTATTTATTTATATTCGAATTAAATAAATATGCACGTCAATTGATTATATAAATATGCAAGATCTCTTAACAATTAAGTTGCTCGAAAAATTGGACTTTGCTTTTGATCCCAGGACAAATCATTGACGCGGTAGTCGCGTCGGATCTTAATATACCAACTTCGTCAAGCAAATAGGACAAAGAAGGTCGACGTGTCAATGAATTAGCAAGCAAATCAAGTTTAAAAGATTTCAATAGGAGTAGTTGTGATGACAATAAGGAAGGATAAACTGACGAAGATTTGGTAATGTATTGTGCTGGTAAAACAGAAATATCATAAGATAAATTGATCCAAAGGAGATATTCTTGAATGATTTTACAATACTAACTTTTCATTACGCCAAATCGTCGCATGTCATCGACGCTTGGTCGATTTTTCAGCTTTTTAGAAAGTTTATCTCGCTGTAATGCAATTTTCAACGCTTTCATTTTCGGAACCAATGAAGAAGCAAGGCAGAATCTAGCTTTAGTTTGCCTTCTAATAACTCGGTTATCATGAGATGAAAATGATGTTGCTTCATTCATCACACTATCATAATCTCCTTGAAACCGTTTAGCGGACATTAACATTCTACGCTGATAGAGAGTACAAACAGCTTCTTGTGGCACCAAGTTTCTCTCCAACAAGACGCGTAACTCGGGACGTTGTGCAAGTCCACGCGACAACCTATTTCTCGTGAAATTCCGCCTCAACAAGGACTGAGCTTCATATGCACCAATCAGTTGTGTATGATTAATGTATCTTCCTTGCTGTAGTTGCCCGAGAAGCGAGACGCCACGCAAGATATTTTGAATGACGAGTTGTTCACGTGTACGACGTTGTGCTAAAGTTAAGAGTGATTCAAGACGATACGTGTTTTGTTTTAGTCGGTGATGTTGCAAAATGGCGTCTTTAATAAGGCGGTTGAATTTTTTGTTTGTTCTTGAGAGAGAAGGTAAGTCTGTGTCTTCGACAAACTATTTATAACGGTAAACAGCACATGATAACAAAGAGAGCATTAGTAATGCTAGATCAAGTGAATTAGTAACATAAAAATTGTTTGACCTCAAATATTTTAATCAGTATCTCTTCTGGAAATTGCTCAATATAACAGGTCATTTCTTTTGTAGGATTGCCAAGAAAATTAAAGAAAATTGCAAGTTATCGTTATAAGACAAAGGGAGCAACGAACTAAATTTCATATTTCTTTTACCCCTGATATAGGTCACGAGCCACATTAGCACGTGTGCCAGGTGTGAGCCAACTTGGATACCAGCTTTAATGTTTCGCCAATCAGATATCTGATAATAACGATAAATAAAACTTTTTTTGATTTAATAGTTTCTACTTCTAACGTCCCTCTGATTCATAATGGTAGGTTTTTCTTTTTTTTTGAACTTGATAGGAGATTATTTTTAAGATGCCTATCCATCCATTATTTAAGTTACCACTTTTTCAAAAATTTGTATATTGTACAATGGAGTCTTTTGGTTACAAACTGAAATTTCAAAAATAATTTCAGAGACGAGATTTTTTGCACGCAACAAAAATAACTATGAAAATTCACTAAATAATTTTTATTGGAATCAGGAAACCACCAAAAATTAATGCGTTTTTTATCTAATTTTGGGTCGTTTGTTTCGAATTTAGACGAAGGGCACCTCAAGTTTCGGTAAACGCCACACAAAGACACACACATTATGCCGTCGGTGTGGTAGACGTGCATTCCACAATCAAAAAAAAACCTGCGCACAGTGTGGATATCCTTCTGCAAAAACTCGAAGTTGTATGTGTGCTAATCATTAACGTTTCAAATTTATCGAACGAAATTTATTTGATTTACGATTTGATCTCTAATCAATTTAGATAATTGGAGTGAAAAAGGCAAGCGCAGAAAAACTACTGGTACCGGTCGAATGAGGTATCTAAGACATGTTCCACGTCGCTTCAAGAACGGGTTCCGTGAAGGTAATTATTAGATTTCTGACTATTCGATGATTGGATATTTATGAGATTAAAATTAATTATTGTTATATGAAATAATAATAGGCACCCACGCTAAACCAGCAGCCAGCAATTCAACTTCGCAAGTTGATTAATAAATTAGATAATAGAATGATAAATACGCATGTGTTGCATGCTATAATAGGTTTAATAAATTTGAAAGCTTGCAACTTTTTGACTTAAAAATCGTAATTTTTGCCGTAATTGATGTAATACTCGTAATTGGTATAATATTCGTAATTGGTGTAAAAGTTCGCAATTAATATTTGTACAAAATAATGAAAATCCGTAATAGTGAGTAATTTCACGTACGGTTCAATATCCCGCCACTGGATCTTGAGATATTAAACCCGAGTGCATCTATGTGCTTCCCAATCCATTTTCGCTATTTCCGTATTTTTACGATTTAATGCGTTCTCTAAGTCTCTACTTTTTCAGTTATAATATCCTTAGCGTCGGCATACTTCTTTCGGTTATATTCAGCTGCTTCTCGGGCTCTGGTTGTCCTTCTCGCTCTTTTTCAATAACTCGGCCAAAATCGTCCACGTTTACTTCTAAACTTACTGTTTGTTATTAAATTCTTTTTTTACCTTTTAAAAAATTTGAGCTTGTTGTATTTGAGCTATTTGTTGTCGCTGACTTTCTAATTGTCTTACACGAGCTTTTAATTCAACTAACTCTTGCCTAATGTCCTTAATTTCTCGGGACAAAATATGACAATTAGCACAATCTCCCTTATTTTTTTCGGTCTTTGGAGTTTGAATATAATTAAGGTGCCATCGGGCTGAGCTATTAAATAATCTTGGTTCTCCTCTTGTTTCATCATTGTAATTCTCTTTCGTCTGCTTCGGCTCCTAGTCTTTCAGCTAGGAAGATATATTTTGGGCTACTCATGATATTATAATTTATAGTTCTTATACGCTGATGGTGCTTGCTGAACTTGGGCGATTAACTGAGTTGCTTGTAATTAACTGTTTCACTTGTTCCTCCAACTGTCTTATTTGGTTCTTTAATTCTATCCTTTTCTATGCTTCTATTTCAGCTATTTTTCTAATGTTTTTATTTTTCTTTTAATTCTTTATTCTCTTTTCGTAAACGTTCTATTTTCTCGGCGTGCTGGTTTACTACTTCGGGTACTGTTCTAGTATTTCGTTTTTATCCTTATTCCAATTTGCGGGATAATACTTTGCCTTAAGATTCTCACGAATCATGTTATTAAGGGTACCAATATCAAAATTCATTATTGTGCATATCATTGATTGACACGAGTTTGATCAATAATCAAATTTTGATTTTACGATCTACAACTTAGTTAAGTGGATACACCATGAAATTATGATTAGATTTCATGATAAAAACCATGGTTCACATGACGTTACAGTTAGTTGTAACAATTGTTCTTCGAGTAGATATTGGATTCTAATATCACGAACGAGTCACGATCAATCTAGGTTGTAATCCGAAATGTCCTTAATTATTACTTACGGCCAGCAACTCTAAAATACGCTAATAAAAGAATGAACGAGCCAGAATTGAGAAAAGATTATCATTGTCAATATTTTTTTCTGCCTGGTTATTGATAAATTATAGCTTTTGATAATATTATTAATATGAAGCGAAAAACGACTAAATATTAAATTAAGTATAAACTTTTTTATTTTTGAAGCTTTACAAAAAATTCAGCACATTATACCATTCGGCATAATAATACTACTACTAGGCACCGAACAACGTAAATTGAACTGTTCTAAATTACTAAAAATGAAAAGATTTATATAAATAAAATAACAAAGCCAAGAAGAATATAAGCTAATTTAAAAAATTACGACACCGATCACAAATTAATAAATAAAAGCAGGAAATTTCTCGAATTTGATTGACGTTTTAACGATGAATTATTCTATGCAACAAAAATCTTTTTCTAACGAAAACAATTATAACGATAACGATAACGATATCATTATTACCGTTATTATTATATCGTTATTAAAAGAAGATAATGCGGAAAAAAAATAAAGCAGCCTTTTATAACCCTTGATAAATTACAGCGCATTTTTACGCGTTAAGTCGTCAAATCGCTTAAATGTATATCCAACAAACGCTAGATCTTTTTGATTAAATTGAGAGTGATCTGTTGATTTTTGGGATGGGAAAGCAGAAAAGTTAAAAGGGTTACATATTAGAAAATTGCCAATTAACACAAAATTTAATTGACAGCTTACCAGATATTGGAGGCTGTTCCGGAATCTTATCTAAATCTTCAGTTGGGAAATAGCTAGTATCAGTTATAGACTTCAATACAGGCACAAAAGGAGCCGCAATTGAACGGATAGTGTCCCAATTGACTCCTGCGAAAAATGGATGACACTTGATTTCCTCGCCGCCGTGACTGCGACCGAGTCGTTGTTCGGGAGCGCAAATGAGTCTAGATTAGGGCGGCATATTATTAGTATTCCTGTGAATTTTAAATAGACATAAGCACGTGAATCTCTTAACGATAAGATGATATACCGTCGAATTAGATCTTCGGCTTCTGGGCTTAAATGAACATCATCCGGGAAATACAATTGATCCCGCCAATTAATAATTTTTCGGTAAGTCTCGTGCGCGTTCTCACTACAAAATGGAGGATACCCAACAAGACATTCAAACATGATAGCACCAAGTGACCACCAATCACATTCTTGACTATATCCTTTTTGTAGAAAAATCTCGGGAGCAATATAATCTGGAGTGCCTACAGTCGAGTAAGCCTATTATTAATTATAAATTAGAATGACATTTATTCAACGGATTTAAAAAAAAATTAATTTTTTATTAATTAATTAAGTTAAAAAGGTTTATTATGAATATTATAATTACCAAGGCCCGTCGATTTTTCCTCCAGGTAGCAATTCTGTCTTTACTTGATAAAGTTAGATTGATATCGTGCTCGCTTGGTAATTGACGATGTCCTCCTCCACTAGCCCCGTTAAGGGATCCGTCCAATAGACGTTGGTAATATGCGGAATCGTGTGTTTTATGGAACCCTGTTGATAGACCAAAATCGGATAATTTAATGTGTCCATTTTGATCAATTAGAATATTATCCGGTTTTATATCTCTGTATTTTATTTTGATTTATATCATAAAATGCTGTTCGTTAACCCATATAAAAATAGTAAAGTCGCAATAAGATCCAAAAAAGATACGCTTACCGATGAATAAAACCTAATTTATGAATAGCCTCAATTGCTAACACACATTCGGCAATATAGAATCGGGTCACATCCTCTGAGAAAGTATCATACTTGATTAACATTGTCATTAAATCGCCACCCGGTAAAAATTCCATAATGAGATACAAATACTGAGAATCCTGAAAGGAATAGAATAATTGAACAACCCATGGCGAATCAGATTCGGCAAGAACATCTCTCTCTGCTTTAACGTGTGCTAACTATCGTGTAAAATACGTGTGTACATAATAACAATAATTAATCAGTATCGTATTCCCTTCACTACTATTATGCCGCAGAGGTGATAAGTGAATTCAATTCGATCACCTGATCCTTTTTGAACATGTCAGCCTTTCTCAGAGTCTTCATTGCATATATCTTTCCGGTATCGGACTTTTGCACTAATCGAACCTTGAATAATTGAGTTTAAAAATTTACACTCGGAATATTGAGGTGAATCAAAAAGATGCGCGTGTATATGTATATTATTCTTATTTACCTCACCGAAAGCACCTTTCCCAATAACTTTAACTGTATTAAAATCATCTAATCCCAGTCTTGTTCTTCGGAGTCTCAAAAATTGTGATTCCTTTCTGCCCAAAGATTGAAATTGTCTGTTCCGTCGGTCATCTGAACAAGGATCGTTTTCCAATTTTGCTTCAAGTTCCTGACGACTTTTCAGTAGAGAAAAGGGAGGCATGGACATGAATACATTATTTACAATATTTTGTTATTTTGTTCAATCAGCTACCGGATATTCTTTAACTCTTCTTTCTCTTCTATAAAGCATAGTGTGGTAGTGAGGAGAGAGTTTATTATTCATTACCGTTGGTTTCTTTCAATGGCTTGTTCTAGGGTAACTTTGTAAAAGTGTTCTAGCTTCAATTTTGCAGCAATCGATCTGTCCAGCGTTCCCTTGGGAAATCCTTCAGTTGACCTCTGGAACACCACGTAATCTTGGTGACCATTATTTGATAGTGAATTATTATTTAGTATGTTATCCATAACTTGATCGGTCATGATGAGTGGGCAGACGACGGTATAAATGCGCAATAAGCAAAGCGAAATCCAAAAATTAAATTTTTTTCTTTTTTAAAAGAGTGTTATTAATGTAGGTTAATAAAATAATTTACAAATATTTATTATTATACGAAGACGATGTTCTGTGGAATATTATAAAATTGTAACGTGGTGCACGAAAAAATAAATGCAAAATTTGTTTTTTAACAGTGACACAAGAGAACCATCACTGATGGAAATGATTACACAACGATACGCAACGTTTTTATTACTTAATATTCTTTGACGATTTTTTATTTTATTTCTAGAAATATATAAAATGGAAGAAAATCTAAAACACGCGAATAATTTTCTGGATATCAAAAACCAACTCATCCACCCATCCATCAATCAATCCAAACCCCAACCTAATACACAAAGAAGGAATAATATGAAATAAATAATGGTGATCAAAGATATATATATATATATATATCGCATGCGTCTTTCAAAAATGAACTTTTTGAAACTTTTCAAAATCTTTTAATGAAAAAGGAGATCGAAAAGTAGGAAATCTATATACAACGAGAATGATGTGTAATAAAAAAAAATCTAATTTTTCACACAATTGACCAACTTATCAATCAATCGAGTAACAATCAACATGTGTGGAAGGAATAAAGAAGAATTCAAAAAAAAAGGGGGAGGGGGAAGGGGTACAAAATTCTAAGAATAAGTCGCTATATAATGATAAAGAAAGCAGGAAGATGAATCCACGATTAAAAAAAAGGTAAAGCGGAAATCATTCTATTAATAATAATGATATATAATCATCATCGTCATCATCATAATGATAGAAGAAAAGAAGAATAATAATGATAATAATAATAATAATAATAATAATAATAATAAAAAAGAATTATAAAATCTATTAATATTTTTATTCGTTGAAGGATTTGGTCATTCATTCATTCATTCTTCCTCTTCATCGGAACTGTTTTCTTCGTTTTCCTCGTTTTCTTCCCCCTGAGCTTCTTTCATACCACCACCATCAGTTATATCAGCAGCGGCAGCAGGAACAACAGCTTCAGCGTCAGTAGCAGCGCCACCGGCACCAACCTGCCAATTTGTTGTTTCTTGAGTATCTCGTAATTGCGCTGGAGCTGACTCGGAAGTTGTTTCACGATGCTCATAATCATCATCATCGTTTGGGTGTTCATCTTTGATTTCTGAACCTCCGCTTGTACTTGGCTTTGCAGGATCAATCAGTCTCCCAGATTCTACTGCTCGAAGCCCAATTTGGCGAGCTTTTTGAAAGATTTGAATTCTATGCGTCGAATTGTTAATGATATAATCGTTATTATTTGACATTCAAAACACTTGGTCCAACGTTAATAACAGATTAATTATCAATTCATACCTGGTTCTCTCGGGTTCAAATTCCTTAATGACCTGTTCCCAATCACCCTTGTGCTTATCATGCGCTGCTTTCAATTTTGCAACTTCATCATCAGTCCAAAGCTGTCTTGGAGCTCGCTTGTGCTTCGGCATAGCTTTTTTGCTGTCCGAATCCTCTCCCCCACTCTCATCCGACTCAAATTTTCTTTTATGAGATCTAGTTATTTGATTGTCGGCGTATGCGCTACCACTACTGCTTGCTAGTGCTGCCGCACCTCCGGAAGCATTAGTATTCATCACATTTTTCAAAATCATACTCGTCTCGTTAATGAATGAGAGCGATTCTCCTTGGACACCCGGGGAAAGAAAGAGAGATACATCCGTTTCGCGAAGTAGGTTTGCAATTCCCTGATAATAGTCTGCCGAAAGTTCAAGACACTTTTTTTGCTATGTGTGTGTGTGTGTGTGTGTGTGTTATGTCATTCAATACATTAAGTGATAATAGTGTTAAAAAAAATTTTCGTAAAAATCCTTTGGTCGGACGAGATAATTTTCAACACTTACAAACTCGTAAAAGTTGTGGATGGCTGCTTTCTGACGTGGCATAAACATTGTATTAGGGTTACTGTAGCTGCTAGTGGTAGTATTATTGGCGTGATGAGAAGGTCTCGAAGAATAGTCTTTGGTAATCTTAAATTTATATGTGGGAGTTGGCGTATTTTTTGCAATGGGTGGTGGTTGTTGTTGTTCTGGTGGTGGTTGGGGTGGTGGTGTATTTTTTGTCATTTCACGACAATAACTCTGTACATCAAAATGAGTGCCAATATATCCAAATATGTAAGACGGAGAAAAAATTCAGAATTAAAACAATAGATAACATGATAATGTCGTGGTATCATTATGCACGGAAATTAGGTAATTTTTCGGCGAAATTACAAATCAAATTCATATCTTCACATGACTAACTTGAAGTTTTTTCGCCATTTACCATTTCTCAACCAATAATATCATTCCATTTTTATGCGAATAAAATCCCATAACCACCATTCATAGTTCACTCGCACATAAAAACCCCTAAAAATCTATGATCTTTGACATTTTCAAAAAAAGCACCATAGACAGTAGTGATTATTCAATAATAATAATAATAATTGATTAGTCGCTTATTCATGTATTGTGCTGAGATAATGTCGAAAGTCCATATTAATCACGGCACCGAACATTGATTTATCTACGTTAGAGATGTCGTTTCATGCTATGGATACATTTTCTTTTAATGGCAATGAGTGTCATGTATTTTCATAATTATAACGGGTCAACATTTTCATTATCAACATAAAAAAGAAATAAAAAAATTTTTTTTAAAAATCGGCAACCCTCTGCAATCCTATATTCTCGAATAAATTAGAGCGTTTTTTGCATTTGCTAGAGTCTTGGTTGAACATTCTTTTTAAGGAAACTTGAGGATCTTCGCTGTCAGGCCTATTGGTTATAGATAACACGCGTTTTGTATTGGGAAGAGAAACTTCATATTAAATGCAATGATGAAAAATTTTCACGTACCATCTCACCTTTACCGCTTTTTTCTTTAGTAGAAGGTCACAAGGCGTCCAACTAAATCGTACTATTCGCGGAAACCCAAACACGGGATCTAAATTTGAGCGTAACCACTGCATCGTATTTGGGTCTGCAAAAATATAAATGAACAAATTCAAAAATGCAAATTAGATACTCCGTATCATTATTGAAAAAAAAACCTTTGGTTAATTTGAATTACCTGAAGGATATCCGCATCCAAAGTCACGAGAAATTTCATCTCTCAGTCTAATTTCTTCAAATTCCAATTTCTTTATTACATGATCCCGAGTGACCTTTGCACAAATGCTGGCGGCACTAACGATCGGAAAAGTTCTATCAGCTTTACTGGCCACTGTGAATTCGATCCCTTGAAACAAACGTTGAAGCTTTGCTTGATAGGTGTCTGAAGGACCAACCGTGTCAATGTATACCTATTAAAAAATTTAACATTAATAATATAATCATTGAAAAAGAAAAAACTTGAAAAAAAATCTTTATAAAAACCTCAGTCAGATTTATTCCTTGCGCTAAAATATCACGTATTAAACTGATGGTGGCATCGTGCGATTGCGCATTCAAATTGTGTTTGTTTCTAGTGGAATATAAGAACGATTTCGCGTATTGTAGCTAATATAGTAGTTATGCTATTATGAAATGCAACCCTCTCACTTTTTTAACATATCTGAGGATATGTCTTGAGGCGTCAAGACACGAACCGCCCATCCAAAAATATCAGGTCGCGACATTATAACCTTGATAAATGATTCACGAGACTTTTCACTTAGTGTTTTAGAATCTAATAAAGAAAATAGATCAGTGTTAATGAAAAAACGTCGATTGAATCATGTACAAATATTAGATAACAAATAATTAACCTGCAAAGCCTAATTTCTCAATTTTATTTTTCTCAGATAAGGGACAATAACATATACCATACACCATGGGACCTTTAAAACGCGTCGTAAAATATATTGTTTGTAATTAGAAAAATCAAACTGAAATTAAAAGTCCAAGGGGGGGGGGGGAGAAAGTAATAATATAGTATCCTCAACCAAGCACAGGCCCTCTTCCTGCTTCATCGACACCGAGGATACAAGGCTGATTCTCTTGGCCCTCCTTTGTTAGATTAATCGCTTTCGCTGAAATATATGTATATGAATGAGTGTATAGACCGTCTTCTGATAATGAAGGCAAAGGGATTTCTTTGTTGGTCTTATTGACAACCACTTCAGTTTGTTCAGTTGGTGAATCAAATGATATTAATTCGTCGGTTTCAATGCCCATTTTTTCCATTTCCTTTCTTTTATAATCGTAATGATAAAAGTCGCGTGAGACACGTTAAAATCCTTTCTAACGTTGAGATCTTCATTTACATAATCATTTACATTTACATAGAATCTACACCCAACCTTTTGCAATGAACAACATAAACGGCACTAATTTCAATCTTGGTCTGAATAATAACTTTAATAACAGTGATCCATTTAATGGCGGACCAAAACCAGATATCATAATACAAGAACTTGATAGCGAAAAAATAAAATTCATATTAACAAACACAGAGTTGAGGTATCAAATGGGAAGATTGATCGAGGCGTTTTTTGGGTAGAGTATGTATGAATCTAACAACTTCGGATGGATTTTCTCATTAGTGTTGCTAATGCATTACGACGCCTCATGATAGCTGAAGTGCCGACCATAGGTAAGGACACCTTCAAATACTTCCTTTATGTACCTGTGTCAAAAAATGACTTATTTCTTATAAATATAGCAATCGATATGGTTGAAATTGAGCTAAACACATCTGTCCTTGCGGATGAGTTTATTGCGCACAGACTCGGGTTAATCCCATTAGATAGCATGGAGGCTGAAAAAATCAAATATACACGGGTCAGTTGAGGGAAACATTTCTATTTCTCATAATATATATCTATATATCATTACATAATCTTTTTTTAACAGGAAAGCACGTAATTAATCTAATTTTCAGGAATGTAACTGTTCCCAATATTGTCCAAATTGCTCGGTCGAATTAACGCTACACGCAAAATGTGTGCAAGATGGTCAGTCACTTGAGGTGTGTAGTCGTGATTTACAGACGAGTGATCCACGAGTGTCGCCTGTTTTGAAAGGTTCGTTTGCTGTTTAAGTGTGTGATTGTATTAATCTTATCTGAGAGAAGAGTTTTCTATTCTAAGCGATGATGATATTTTGTGTATATATTTAGATGATAATGATAAAGGAATATTGATTGCGAAACTTCGTAAAGGACAGGAATTAAAAGTCAAGTGTGTGGCAAAGAAGGTAACGTCGTTGAAATTATTTTATCCTGAATGATCTCAAAAAATTTATCCATTTCTATCTAATTCATGGTTTCATAATTTAAAAGGGTGTCGCAAAAGAACATGCAAAATGGAGTCCGTGCGCAGCCGTAGCTTTTGAATATGATCCACACAATAGGCTACGACACACGCATTATTGGAAAGAAGAGGACGAGAAAAAGGAATGGTCTGTTATTCTTTGCACTTTGGTAAAAGAAATAATACCTAAACTGATGAATGGATATCTTTGTGGTGATTTACTGGCTATTTGTTTATTTCACCGTGAAGAATTTATTGTAGCTATTAAATTCATCCTTTTACTTTGGGTATCGTTAAACGCAGGCCTCTTGGTACGAATGCGATTCAAGAACCACCTATGACCGATGACGAACGTAAAGTTTTTTTAATGTTCGATTCTATTCGTATATTCATTCGAGTCTTATTTTTTTTTATTTTTATTTTTATAATATCATAGCATTTGACTATAACGCGACTCCTAATAAATTCTATTTTACCGTAGAAGTAAGCGTGAAATAATTTCTTTCTTTTGAATATTATAAAATTCTTATTAAATTTTTGTGTATATTTAATAACAACAACAACAATAATAATAATAGACGGTAGGATCCATTAAACCCGAGGAAATTGTAATGTCCGCATTGAAGCGGCTACAAGAAAAACTAGGGATGCTTCAAATCGCATTGGCGGATGACACGACCGAACAGCTTCATTTGCGACAGCAGCAACAAAGACAACAGGAACAGCAAGAAGCGCAGGAACAAGCGTTGTTGAGACAACGGTATATCCCACAATCAGACGATAATCTCTCGTTCTCTTGATTAACGTTTTTATTTTTCTTATTATTGTGAAATCATCTCGCGGAAATAAACACTAAAAAAGCGATACACTAGTTTTATTCTTTAGAAGACTTCAAACTTTGATTATTATATTGTTTGTGCTGAGGACGACTATACAAGTTAAAAATAATGCTTCTCACAAATTTAAAAAACTGCCATATTCACGCTTTTCATCTCAACTGAAAGAATGTTATATTTATTATATATATATATGACATGTATGCAAGAAGCAGCCATCATTCCTGTTTATTTATCGTCCATTCTCTAGCTTGCGAAAAGAAAAGTTTTGCCTCATTTTCGTTTTCATTAACAATGCGATATTGGTTACCTATTATAATAATAAATGAACAATAAAGATTATAATATACCTTGATAATATATTTTGATGTTACTTACCTCTCGGAATTAGGAATTGTCCACCAGAAGCAATTCGGAAAGTGGTTTTGTGAATAGTGACCGTGACCTTTCCTTTGATTACATAAAATACCTATTCGTATTAAAATTCGAATTAGAATGAATGAAATGAATTATTATTAACTTGAGCATAAAATAATCATACCATACTGCTGTCTTTAGCGTTCTTCGCAGGTTTTTCAACTCCTTCCGGCAGCACGAGAAGACCACTCGAAAAAAACTGCCCATCGGAAAATGTCTTTTGGAACTTGTACCTATAACCGGGATCATTCGGTTCGAACATTGATGGCACAAAAATAATTTCTAGATTAAAAAATAGGTTAATAATAAAAATATTATTTCTTTTTTTTATCATTTTTACTTACGACGAGTAACAGTTCTATCCGTTTCCCAATCCACTATTTCTACTTCACCCTTAGAATGACGAATTTCTTCTTCATCCTCATCCTCATCCTTTTGTTCCTCTTCTTCCTCATCTTCTTCCTCTTCTATTACTCTTTTACGCGACTTTCTTTTTTCTGTGGTCGCGCGTTTCTCAGAAGTCGCATGTTTTCTCAGCGGAGGACGAATTACCTCCTCGTTATCGGAAATAGTTATAATTTCTTTTATGATTGGCACTGGTACTTTTGATCCTGCGAGAAGGAATAGGATAAATTTAATAATGATCGAAAAATCATCTTTTTTATTCAATAATATATTATTCACCTTCTTCGGCTCGTCCATAAACTACTTTTTCGTTTTTCCAAAATTTCAATGGCCTAATTTTTCTGCGAGTACTTCTCCGCACTATTTTTTTTTTCAAGCATTGTAATTTAATCATCAATCAAAAATAATCAAATAATAATAAAATATGATCAACACGTACATCCCTGCTCATTTTTAATCTCTGGTTCTTCCTTCCCATCTCCATTGAAAGAAACTTTCTTTTTGCGTTGCTGTTGCTTCTGTTGTTTTATTGGTGCTTTCTGTCTTCTTTTTGCTTTTGCTTTTGCTTTTGCTTTTGTACTGCCTTCAGCTTGTGGTTGTCGTTCTTCCTCATCGTCTTCCTCCTCTTTAACCTCATGATTGTCACCATCATCATAATCATCATCATCATCATCATCATCATCATCATTATTATTATTATTATTACTATTATTATTATTATTATTAACATCATTATTATCATTACTATTACTACTATTATTACTCTTTTCAGGTTTACTACGATTTATTCCAAGATCAAAAGGCTTATCACTAGCTTCTATTTGATTGTTCCGAGTGGTTTCCGTTTGTTCTATCTGTGAGGTATCTTTTAAAATATATTAAAACTACTGTTAATTTTAAGAGCTATAGTTAATATGGCATAGCGTTTACAATCAAAGAAATACGACAGAATATCAAATACCTTCCATGACAATATCCATAGATACCTCGTCAGATAACGTCGATTCAATTCTGCTAGGATTATTACTGGCATTCTCATCATTATTACTATTATCGTTGTTATCCTCTTGTGGTGATTCATCATCTGTCTTCGCTTCAGTCCTATTAACGTCTCGAAAAATGTCGTCCAAGTCATTATTCCCTTCAGTCCTATTAGCTCCTCGAAAAAAGTCGTCCAAGTCATCAAACCCTTCATTATCTTTCCTTACGTCATTTTTGACTGTTATACCTGTTTTCCTGGTTTCAATTAATTCATTGGATAAAGGTGAGGTAACTCTTGGCTTTGTTGTCAAATTGCCACGTTTCTTCTCTCCCAAACTTTAATAACTTGAATTGTTTAAAAGAGTACCTTCCGCGAATTCCAACTTCTGTGTACTTGTTACCCCTTTGTCTTTTATTTTTTGCGTTATCGCTCGGCATTGAAAAAGAAAAAAACGCCTTATTGTGGAAAGCTACTTACAAATCTTTATAAATAGTAAGCAAAAACGTAGCGAAAGGGACTATACACGTAAAATATTGTGTTCAATAATGTTCAAATTTAATGATTCAGATAATCTTATGAATTAGGAAATTATAAATAGATATCGATCATATTTAATTTTGAAAAAATAAAATTTTAATTTAATAACTTTAAAAGATATTTTATAATTCAACAAATCATTTTAAAAAATTAGCATTATTAAATTTATTAAAACTAGAATTTAATAAATATACAATTAAACACAATAATTTATTTTAATTTTGTATATAAAACAATTAAAAAAAACTTTAAAATATAATATCTCACAATTTCCAAACAAAATTGATAATTATAAAGATATTATTTCAGAAACTTTTTTATTAATATTAGTTATACATTGTGTTACAAAATTATCTGGAATCAAAAAAATCCTGTTGCACCATAACCAGCAATTTAAAAATTATAAAAAATAGCTTGTTGGAAAGCTGAAAGCTCACAGATTTTATTGATAACAAATTAATAATTAATTCTTTCTCCATTTCTCTCAATTATACTTTGACAATAACTAGATATTGAATTTACAAGATTAATTATAATATTATCTGGAATATTTTGCCACTCCTTCTTCATAAATTGCTCCAAATTCTTAATATTTCAGGATATTCTCTTCTTCACATTTTTTTTCATAAGTTTTCAATAGGATTTAAGTCTGGGCTGTTAGATGACCATTCTAGTATTTCCAGAATATTTTCTTGCAAGTAAACTTTAATAATTCAGCTAGTATGCTTGAAATCATTATCTTGTTAAAAGCATTAATCATTTCCAAGCATACTATTAATCTCTGAAATATATTTGCTGATAATATTTACATAAAACTTAGTATTTATTATTTACCAAAAATAAAACAAACTTGTTTTTCTTTGATAGAAAAATCATCTCATATTATTATTTTTATTTGATCTTTTGACATAAAACAAGTTTGCTAAGCATCTTTATATCAATACTCTATTATATTTCAGAAGAGCTGAAAAGTTATTTCATCCAAAAATAATATCTGATTCTAGTTATCATTAATATGAGTCTTTGCCTATTTTATTTATCTTTTTTTATAATTAATGATTAGCATAAATATAACTTTAGACAAGCTTTTTGAGTAGTTTATAATAATCATATAATAAGTAATAGTAGTATAGGATACTTGAATATTAATTTTAGATAATTTTGTGATAAGTATTTATATAGAAAGTGAAATATTCTTACATATATACTATTCAAGTATCTAAAATATATGTATAATAATTTTTTTAAATTATTCAGCATCTTTTACATGTTGATTTATCCCTATTTTCTTTAGTTTTTTTATATTATCATAAATAATACTGAGTATAATACCAGTCTATTTATAAATTTGTTTGACATTTTAAATATCATCATTTCATAATTATAATATAATTTAATATTATATTTCTTTCTTTAAAAAAGATATTATATATATAATTATTGTAAAAGTTATTATAATAATTTATACTATTAAATTCATTAAGATTTAACTTAAAATATAGGCTTTATTTTATATTTTACATATAAGAAATTATATACATATATAATATGCTAGATGTATTTATATCATATATAAAAAATTTTAAATAATTTTATAATATATACTATATATATAAATTAAGATCTTTATTAGTAAATCTGTATAAATTTAATAATTTTAATAAATAATAATTCTGTAAGTAATAATTAAACTAAATTTATTCTAAATCTTAAATTTTTTTTTCAAATTATTATAGTATTTTAATAATTATTAATAAAAAAATTATTTCTATTCTTGTTTATATAAGTATTTATTCTTTTTTTTAAACTTAATTATTTCTTGTTGTAAATATAGAATTCTTATATTATAATTTAGTTTCTTTTTTTAATAATATAATAAATACTTTTCTAACTTGAATTTAAATTTTTTATAAATTATTTCTTTATAAAATTTTATTTAAATTTATTAATAGTTAGTTTTATTATAATCTTTTGAAAGTATTTGTTTAGATAACTAATTAAAAAAATTTTTTTTATTTTGATTTTTTTAGTTAAATTCACTTTAATAAATTATTATTAAATTTAAATTTTTTTTAAAATATTATTTTTTATTAGTTAATTTTTTTCTTTTACTAATAGTTTTTTCAATAAAAACTTATCTTTTAATAATTTTATATTCTAAATTATTATATATTAATAATAATTATATAAATATAATATAAATAATTATAATTACAGTAACTATCAAAAGTAATGTAATGCTTAAATTTTTTATTAATTATAATTAGTAAAATATGTGATTTTTCTTATATATAAATATTTTTAATTTTATTAATAAATATTTTTTATTTTTACCTCAAAAAATAGTTAAAGTTCTCTAGTTTAACATGGATTTTTTTCAGATTTTTCAGATTTTTTTACCAATGATTTCTTCTAATTGCATATGAAGTTAATTAATTTTTACTAATTAATAATTAATAAAAATTAATTAACTTTATATGTAATTAGAAGAAGTTATCAGTAAAAAATCCAAAAAATCTGAAAAAAATCTATGTTAAACTAGAGAACTTTAACTATTTTTTGAGATAAAAATAAAAAATATTTATTAGTAAAATTAAAAATATTTATATATAAGAAAAATCATATATTTTACTAATTATAATTAATAAAAAATTTAAGCGTTGTATTACTTTTGATGATTACTGTAAGTAAATTTATAATAATATTAAAATCTTTTTTAAGATAAAATATATTAATAAGAATATTTTATTTATAAATTATAATTTATCAAAAAATTATTAAAAATAGATAATAATAATATTTAATATATAATTAATTAAAATTTAATTTAATTCAAAATATAATTTAATAAAAATATTAATAAATAATTTATTAATATAATAAATATTATAATCTTTTTAAAATTTAATTTACAAGAAATAATTTTTAATATCTTCTTGTTATTTTTTTTAATATTTTTTTACTTATATTAATTAAAATATATTACTTTTATATATTTAAAAATTTTATAAATAATAATTTAATTATAATATTTATATTATTTTTATTATATTTTATATACTATTTCAAGTTAAGATTATTTTGTATAATAATTTTAATAAGTTAATATAATATTTAAATTTATAAAAATTAAAAATTTAAGTAAAATTTAGAGAAGTTTATAAATTTAAAATTAAAAGTAAAATATATAATATTATTATTAATAAAATAAAATAAAAAAAATAAAGTATAGTCAGATCTTTTTATAATTATATCTTTTTATAATTATCTTTTTTATAATTATCTTTTTTAAGTTTTTAGTTATTAATTAATTATAATTAAAAAAAACTTTTTATAGTTATATCTTTTTTAATTATTCATTTTTACTTTTTTAAGTATAATAATTATAAAAAAATTCAAGTATATATAATAATATTTTATTCATATAGTATAATAAATTATTAAAAATAATTATTTAAATTATTATTTTATTATTAAAATTTCAAAAAAAATATAATAATTTTTATTTATATTATTATATATATATTTTTTTATAATATAATATATCTAATCTATATTTGATAATTATATAATTTTATTTTAAATAATTCTAATACTTATTCTAAATTATATATTATAAAATCAATTAATAAAATATATTTTATAAATTATATATAATAATTAATATATTATATTATTAATAAATTATTATTTTGTAATATTATTAATTCTAAATATTTTAAATAATATAGTATACTTATATTTTTTTAATAAAAAATCAAATTTTATTTATTATTCTTTCTTTTATTCTCTTTATTAATATATAATAATATAATTTAAACTTATTTATAACTTACTTAACAGCTTTATTCTCTAAATTCTTAAAATTCTTATCATATATCTTTATAACTTATAAGTAAACTTGCAAATTATTATTATAAAAATATTAACAAGAGTTTTTAAAACTTATTTTAATAAATTTATATAATTATAATAATATAATTATTTAATTTTCTATTTTATAAAATTTTAATATTACTTTATAAAATTATACTTATAATAAAACTTTAAATATTATTTAAAAATATATTATATTTTAATTATTATTTTTTAAGTAATAATTATTATTTAGAAAAATTTAATTGTAAAGATATAATTTATTATATAATAATCTATTTATATTAGATTATCTTTATATTTTTTAAAATATTATTTATATATCAAATAAATTTTCTTAGTTAGCTAAAGATTATATTTTTTAATTATTCTCTTAATTTTATTATCAGATAATTATTTGAAAATATTATTAATTAATATATCTTTTTTTATATTTATTTATATTATTGTGATATGAACTTTTAATAAAATATTAGTTAATTATATTATTGGTCACTTCATATCACAATATGATTGAATGAATAATTCTTTATATCTTATTAAACATTAGCTTTAGAGAATATTATTTGTAGATATTTTTAGAAGGTTTTACAAATATAATGATCATGACAAAATTATCATAGCAAAGTTAGCAAAATTATCACAGCAAAATTAACAATGCTATCATAATAAAATTAACATTATGATATTAGCTAAAGTGATATTTAGATCATAGCAAAACTAACATAAGTATCATAGTAAAAGTATCATTCATATAACCTCTAAAATATATAAAAGTGATGTATCTTAGCTAGTGAATTTAGACAGTTAATTAGT